CCTTGTGGAAGGCCTTCGGGCCTCATACCGCGCTGTAAATGTTTAATTTACCCACAGCTCTGTTGTGTGGATGTTGGAGCTGTGCTACCTGGCGGTGCGGTTTAGCAGAAGGTATTCAGGCTGCTACCGGTGTGTTGGCAGTTGGGTTTATGTCTGTGTTACTTTTTAGCACCACTAGTATCCTTAACTGCAGGATTGATTCCAGTGCAGGAATTCTGTCTTGGCTTTGAGGTGGTTCTTATAATTTAGCCTACCCTGTACTTCAGATTCCATGGAGTGTTTTCTCTGTTCCAAATAGGATAAAATAGATCCTCTTTTCCAGTCCATGTTTTGAATTCTGCTAAAGGGTTCACGGAAGTGCAAAGCTGAGCCACCACCTCCGTTAAAATCAATCAGGTGTACAAGTTTCTGTATTTAGGAAGATCTTAATGAAATGCTTAACCATGTGGTAATAACTCATTCTAGATGATATATAGAATTGCTGAATTCTAATAAATTTTATAACTATTTGAGAATGGTTTACTGAACAGCAGAGGGCCGCATAAGATACAAGAGCAAGCGGTGTTTGTTGGAGTTGTTCCCTAACTATTCTGAGTAAAGTGGTTACCTAAGTGGATAAAATACTTTCAGGTTTGTTCTGTTATTGAACTGATAGTTATAAACCCCAAAAACTAAACCAGCAATGTCCTTTCTTCTCTATAAGAGATTTATTAAAGTGGATACTCAAAACGTGCAACTGGTACAAAGGTGTGTGATTGTATCCAGTTCTTTCACATGCATTAAGTACTATTAAGTGCTATTAATTCATCTCAAGAGATAGTCACCACTATTGTGAGTTTCTGGAGATTATATATCTATAAAACATGAGCTCTTTTTTTTCTCGGCCTAGTTGTTTTGAAAGAACTACTAGTATGGAAAATGATGAGAGCAGTTACAGTGAGGGAGAAGAGCAAAAACCTTCTCTACCGTTTTTGGAAGAGGAAGAAAAAGAAGACAAAGCTGGTCAGCTCTCTAATATGGAAGAATGCTGGGAAGGTGAAAACAAGAAATCATTTTGCTAGCTCACCAAATAAAAAATCTATTTTAATATTTTAAGAACCTGTTTTAATATTTTGTTAGAATCCAAGCTTGAAGAAGAGTTGACTGGTGGTGGCAAGATGGGAAACAAGGACACCTCTGAACAAGTTGGAGACAAAGCCAGTTCTAGCATGTAAATAACTTGTTACCACTTCTAACAGGACTTCCTTTATAGTGTTAACTTACCTTTTCAAGAGAAGGTTTGGTTAATTCAGCTACCCAGCCAGCTCTTTGCAATGATGCATGGTGTTGGGTTTGTATTCCTCTGTGCTTTTTTAAAACATCAGGAGCTGCTGGAAAAAGAGAAGCTTGTCTGCTGAAGAATACCAGTGCTGGATTGTCATTTTTATTAATTTTTTGCAGTTGTACAAAGAGTCTTGTACCACTGTGTAAAGTCAATTACCACAGAATTGGTACGATGATAGATTAGCACTACATTGATTTTTGTAAGTATGTCCTGGGTTCAGCTGCAGCAGTCATTTTTTCTCCTCCTTAGTAGCTGGTGCAGTGCTGTGTTTTTGACTTTCAGCCTGGGAACAACGCTGATAACACTGATGTTTTTAGCTGTTGCTAAGTAGTGTTTACTCTGACCAAGGACTTTCTCAGTCTCATGCTCTGCCAGGGAGGAGGGGAAGCTGTGAGGAAGCAGAGAACAGGATACTTGACCAAAATTGGGGTACTCCATACCACAGCACGTCATGCCCAGTCTATATAAACCGGGGGGAGTTACCCGAAAGGCCCAGATCGCTGCTCGGGTTGGGCTAGGTATTGGTGGCGGGTGGTGAGCAATGGTATTCTCTCCCCTTGTTATTTCCCTTATCATTATTATTATTGGTGGTAGCAGTAGAGGTTTGTATTATACCTTAGTTACTGGACTCTTCTTATCTCAACTCGTGGGAGTTACATTCTTTTGATTCTCCTCCCCACCCC